CTGCTCCGGGTGTGAGGAGGGGGACGGAGACACAGCGCTGGCCACAGGGGCCTTTGACCATGATATTCTCTTCATGCCCTGAGGCAGGAGCAGCTCATTTATCAGAACGGTAACTGCAGGTGCCAAACGCTCTTATCCAAAGCGACCTCATGTTTGTAGCCTTTCAAACAACTGGGCTTGTGAGCATGTGCTCACCACAGCTGTGGCCCAGCTGGGATCTGAACCTCAGGCCTCCTGGGTCTGACCCCTGACCTCTGACCCCTCCTCTGAGCCACTCTCTTCCCTGTCTATTTGCGGGACTTCCTTCGGCTCTGGACGTTCGTTACTGGAGCTCGTTAAGAGTCTGGGTTGGCTGGGTTGTAATGTCCGTTGCTGTGAAAGCAGCGCCCTGCCCAAGGGTACAGCAGTATCTCGGTCACCAGCCCTGAGCCCTGACCCCTCTGTGGGCTGGGTGCTGCAGGCTGTCCCTGGGGACAGGTGGGGGCGGGGGGGGTGTCCACCCTTCACGCCCACACCGGTCTGTCTCTGTTCGCCGGGCAGGGGACAAGGCTCTGGACGGCTACAGCAAGAAGAAGTACGTCTGCAAGCTGCTCTTCATCTTCCTGCTGGGCCACGACATCGACTTCGGCCACATGGAGGCCGTCAACCTGCTGAGCTCCAACAAGTACACCGAGAAGCAGATCGTGAGTTCCCTGCGCCATCCCCGTGTCTCTCAACGAAACGTCCGCTCCGCTGCGGGTGTTGTCAGTGACCACGGGGAGTGACTCAGCCCCTCTCTCTCTCCCTCCTGTAACAACCCGCCTCAACGTGATGATTAAGATCCAGGCCCCTGGAGGGCGGGGTGACTCAGTGCTGCTGTGTCTGATCGCGCTCCTGGTTTCCTTTGCTGTTGTCCCGAAGTCCTCCCTGCCTCGGTTATTGTCCCTTCCTCACTTACCCCCCCCCCCGATTTCCGCCCTCTCTCCTTCTGCTGCCAGGAGCGCGGGCCGGCGCGTTCGTCTTCAATCAGCTGAACCTTGCTCTAGGGTCGCGTTCAGGTGCGGGAGATCTCATCAGCAAAAGCAGTAAACTAATGAGTCAGCACAGCCGGGTGCGATAAAAGTTGTTCGTGGAGGCAAAGGTCCGACTCGCTGCCTGCTGCTGCTGCTTCTCCCCAGGGGTACCTCTTCATCTCGGTGCTGGTAAACTCCAACAGCGAGCTCATCCGGCTCATCAACAACGCCATCAAGAACGACCTGTCCAGCCGCAACCCCACCTTCATGAACCTGGCCCTGCACTGCATCGCCAACGTGGGCAGCCGGGAGATGGCCGAGGCCTTCGCCGCCGACATCCCCCGCATCCTGGTGGCCGGGTGAGCGCGGGGGGGGCGGGGGGGGGCTGGCGTGGGGCGCCCCAGTGTGGTCCTGCCCTCTTCAAACGAGAGACAATGCCAAAGAGGGCGTCAAAATGTCCCGTGGAGGTCTGGGAGGTGTGTGCAGGAGTTTCTCCTGGAGTGTAGGACTGTAGGAACTGTCCAAGGGGGGGTATTTTTTGAATGCCGAGTTCTGGCAGTTCGCCGGCTGGCTAGCAGAGGCTGCTGGGATAGGGCTGGCTGTCTGTGTGGCCGTGGCGTCTGTGTGACGGCCCTGTGTGGCTGTTCGGTGTCCCGCAGAGACACGATGGACAGCGTGAAGCAGAGCGCCGCCCTCTGCCTGCTGAGGCTGAACCGCACCTCCCCGGACCTGGTGCCCATGGGCGAGTGGACCTCCAGAGTGG